GACTGCGGTGGCCGGGAGTGGCCACTGCACTCCAGTCTGGGCAACAGAGTGAGACTCCAACTCAAAAAAAAAAATACAAAAATGCACATTAAAGGCTCTGAGAATTACTACTCAATTGTATGCTCAATCGCATTTATCAAAGTGGTCCATGAAAAGGAGTTATTTGATAACTATATATTCCCTCATAAATAAACAGACTTCTCAGAAGCTAGTCCATGCTACTCAAATCCTTCAGAAATGTCTATCAGGAACACACAACATACTGGCCAATCTGTATTTAAAAGCTGTCTTCCTCTATTCCATTTCCAAATGTTTATGACCAAAAAAGATGCTGGTACAAATACCAAACAGAAAGCTTTTTTTTTTAATGGCCAAAAATGACTTCGAATTTTTTTTTTTTTTGAGTTGCAGTCTCACTTCATTGCCCAGGCTGGAGTGCAGTGGCATGCTCACAGCCACCCCAGCTTCGACCTGCTGGGCTCTGGCGATCCTTCCACCTCAGCCTTCCAAGCAGCCAGAACTACAGGTGCGCCCTATCACACCCAGTTAATTTTTTTGATTTACTGCAGAGATAAGGTCTTGCCAAGTTGCCCAGGCTGTTTTTTTTTTTTTGAGTTGGAGTCTCACTCTGTCACTCAGATGGAGTGCAGTGGCCGCTCCCGGCCACTGCAGTCTCGACCTGCTGGGCTCCAGTGATCCTTCTGCCTCAGCCTTCCAAGTAGCTGGAACTATAGGCATGCGCTACCATGCCCGGCTAATCTTTTTTTATTTATTGTAGAGATGAGGTCTCGTCAAGTTGCCCAGGCAGGTCTCGAACCCGCGGGCTCAGGCAATCCACTCACCTCAGCCTCCCAAAGTGCTGGGATGACAGGCTTGAGCAACCGCACCCGGCCCATTTTTTTCTTTTAAATGACCAATAATGATTTAGAATTCTTCCACTGTTAAACCCACTTTAGGAAAAAATAGAGGATCTTAATAAAACAGCAGAACCAATAAAATAAGCAGAACAGTAGAGGCTGTTGATAGGTTTAAATTCCAAGCTGAGCAGCCTTCCTTACTACCTGAAATCTATTTGAGAATATCTCTTGCAAACCTAGTTGCCAGTTGTTTTCTGCCAGATAGGACTGGGGCTCACTGAGGATGCATAGGGAGAAACTGGCCTCCAACAAAATCTCTCCTTGGCTGCAAATACCACAAACATGGTTTACCTCCCAGTAAAATGACTAGCATTTCATTTCCCACAACTCTGATGTATCACTCCTATAAATCTACTAGTGGCTACTTACATAGATTTGGCTACCCGGTGTTAGTTTTTTGAAACCAATATACTTGGTTTTTATGCCTGACCAGGGCTGTTTCTACCTACAACCTAGACTAATCGTACCATCCCTCCAGGATCCAGAAACCAGTTACTTTCCAATCAGTTCTTCGTAGGCACAGTAATAAATGTATTAAGATAAAGTGGGCATTGAAAGAAAGAACTTCGCTGGGAGTGGTAGCGTGCACCTGTAGTTCCAGCTACTTGGAAGGCTGAGGGAGAAGGATCTCCTGAGCCCAGTAGGTCAAGGCTGCGGTGGCTGGGAGCATGCCATTGCACTCCAGCCTGGGTGACACAGTGAGACTCCAACTCAAAAAAAAAAAAAGATGAACTAGAGTCTGGCTTACCTGCATAAATATCTATTCTGGTGGCATCAGCGTCTCTGCAAAAAAAAAACAAAAAAAATCAAGATCCAAGTAAGAATTAATATACCAACCATTAAAATGCATAGTATTGTGAGCAAAATGCATAGTATTTTGAGGATGATTTCACTAAGCCATACAGAAATTCTATATCTATTAAAGCTTCTTTTACACTAGGAAACTCAATTCTCCTTATATATCTGTAAAACATTTCTGAAGTGCCAAATTATTTAATATAACCACATGACACTTAAAGCCTGGATATATTTTTTAATGCTGATTTCAGGATGAAAACATCTATAGGATAAGCAAGAACATTTCCCTGTACACACCAAGAAATGACTCAAATGTGTTTCTCTTACTCATTTGTGACTACAATCCTAAAAAGTTGTTCCAATAACTTGTCCATTTTATCCTTCTTACCAAGATTTTAAGAAAAAAGGTAACAATAATCTGTCACAAAACCTGTGAAAAATCAGGTTTCATGATACACACTGCAGTCAACAGACTGATTCCTGGGCCCATACTCTTAACCTCTGTAACCTTGAAAGGAAGTTCGGGTACCCCATTAGACTCCAGCCATGGCTGAAATCACAGATTCAGCCAACAGTGAAGACTTCCAAAAGGCTTAGAATCTAATCTGCCAACTGCAGGCAAGGAAAATGAAACACAATTTTATTGGTTTTAAATGCAAAAAATCTACTCAAAATCCAAACAGTTCTTCATGTACCTAATCTCAAAGATATAAAAATATTTTCAAATATAACATTGGCAGAATGTATGCACAAGGATTAACAAAGAAATCTCTAGTTCATCATATGATGATACACAAAAAAGCAGCCTGCCACTGCACACTATGGTCTCACTAAGCTAACTAGTGGCAAATTCAAACATACATCTCTTAAGCTACAATACCTTTTCCCCTCCCCACTCAAACTACAATATTTTCTAATTGAATGGAAAAACTGAGCAACCAAGATTGAAACAAAATGGAAGTTTTCCAGTTACACAACTTAACATACTTCCATGAGCAGTCCAGTAAATAATAACAACGAAAGTAAAAAGATGTAAGTGAACACAGAAAGTTATCAGCAAGCTTATCAAACTAGGAAAACTGTTTAGAAGCACTTCTACTGTTAACTCTTATCCTCTTCTTCCTTCATTAGTCATCAACATATGGTCAATAAATGATATATGTGAATTTTATGTATATTCTGAATATATTTTATGCATTCAGGAATAACAATGAAACAGTATTTTCTTAACATAATTATAACCAGACTCTTGATCCAGACTTGGATCTTTGTCTCAGAACCAATCTAAACTTCTATTCAGTCTTATACAGTACCATTTATATGCTTTCCATCACTAAGAACTCAGTATAAGATAGTGCTAAAAAGTGATTCCAAGATGCAAGCACAGCTGCAAACAATGGAAGACATCTTGATCATTTGGAGTCACCTGAAAATAAAATATATTTTGGGAAAGCAGAACTCTGGTATAGTTTTCAGGACAGAAGTAGTTTTGGGGGTAGTAAGGTCACTATTTTTAGGCTAGAACACAAAGAACAATGAATGAAGCAAAGGCAATCAAGTAACAAAATGGAAGTTATCAACTAATGTGCTATTAAAAATACTTTTTCAGTAAGACGTTTCTTAGGAGTTGCAGCTGCTACAGAAATGTCTTCCACTCAAGACTTCAGAGAGCAAAGGCTACCCAAGATGTTTCCACTCCAAGCACAGACTGTAGACCTCAATATTACATACCTTGCATTATCAACCAGTTCAGCAAGAGCACCAAACAAGAATTCATGAGTGGTTCTGAAATGATAAATACTAAGAGTTAGCAAAAGAATTATAAACTGAAGTCTGCCTTCCAATAAAATCACGGTTATAAAATATTTAAAGGTTTAAATAAATAAAATTTTAGAAAAAAATTTTAAATCATTATTTGCACTATTTACACTACCGAAATTTAAACTTCTCCACAACTCAAGCCTTTTCAGAGCTCACTAATACCCCTCAGTTGTTCATCTTTACCAAGTCCTGCTATCTGTTCAGAAATGTTTACTCTGCCTATTTTGAGTTGAAAAACTCACTGTGAAGCACTGAAAGATTCCTATATGTACTAACTGCTAAAAGCTGTGTTCTTCACTTATTCATATTCTGTCTAGAGAAATATCTGTATTTTATTTTTCATTGCCTTAACCAGTAGTCAGTTTGTGCATATCACAAAGACTGTAAAAATACAGCTTATGCATAAATATCACCTTTATTTAGGCTGAGTGTAGAGGCTCACGCCTATAATCTCAGCATTTTGGAAGGCCAAGGCAGGAGATCGCTTGAGGCCAGGAGTTCAAGATCAGTCTAAGCAACACAGCAAGTCCTGTCTCTACAAATATTAGCTGGGTGTATGCACCATAGTCCCAGCTTCTCAAGAGGCTGAGGTAGAAGGACCACTTGAGCCCAAGCGGTCAAGGCTGCAGTGATCCATGATTGGATCACTGCACTCCAATCTGGGAAGAGTGAGGCTCTGCCTCAAAAAAAACAAAAAAAAAAAACTTCTTTATTGAGTTTTGAGTAACATGGTAACTGTAGTTATCAAACCAAACTTCCAGTAGCCTCCCAGAGATGACCACTGGCTCCCCTCCTTGAAGGGGTTAACTTTAACGGGCCCTAGGAGACCATACCAAGTTTTTAATCTGCCTAGAATTGTTCAAGAGGGTATCGGATTCCTTTCTTTAATATAAAGTTGTGTTTTTAGTCAAAATCTGAGTAAGTAAAAAAAAAAATAGGTTATTGTTCTTCTTTCTCCGTCCTTAAAGTGGAACTTTTTTTTTGCTTCAAAATTGCACAAGTGTATGAGCTTCTTTTTTTAACTTGTAGATCATACACAGGTATTGGTAGAGCAAAATGCAACAAATTATCCATTGAGTATGCTCAATTTACACTCACTTTAATGTGTTGTTTTTTCACAATAGTCTTCATTAGATATTAAAGTAGGATGTGTCTACATAGAAACACCTAAAAAAATCAGCTTGACTTTTGGCTAGAGAAAATACAAAATTATGAACCCACAGGACATTACCATCAACTTCCCAAAAAGACTCAAATTATCCCTGCCAATTTTTATGTGTGCATACACAGTTCCAGTCCATAGCCAAAGTGAAATTGTTAAATGAAATGTCAATACTAAATAACCAGCAGCTAGGATACCTTTTATCACTTACCATATTGTTGTGAACAAACGTAAAACATTAGTCTATAAAATATTTAATATGGAACTGTCCAGGAACATTGTTTTTTCCTTATCAAATAACTCTTCAAAGTTTTACAAATGCAAAATCTGAACTAGATACAACTTCTACTACTTGAAATTTTAGAGAACTTTTCCCTCACAAGATCAGTGAATATATGTTGCTAATCCAAAAGCAGCACCAATAAATATAATGAAACAACAACAAAATCATCAATTCACCTAGAAAACAGAGCTCGAATTCTTCTAAGCTCTAATTACTTTACATGGAAGAACCAAATTTCTAAAAGAAAACCTGCATAAAAACAGCCATATGCTTAATTATTAAAAATACTTAATCTCTAGAATTATCACTTTAAATACAAATTACGATTTAAATAAACAAAGTTTTCTGTAAATTACTCCACTAAATAGGGAGAAATAAGCTGAAAAAAAATAAGGTGACCTGCTGAAGGTAATGTAGGTTGAAAGTGATTATCTAACATTCTCAAGCTTTTAACCAGTTATTTCTTGTCAGATTTATAAGTGGCTTAGAGACTTACTAAGCGGATATGTTTCCTATACTTGAAAAGTTTTAATTTTGAGAACTGTTATAAATACAATATAATCAATTTTATTGCAATACTTCTCATTTTAACATAATTTTGTACTTTAATGTAAATCAAGGACTCTCAGAAATACAGTTTCTAGGGGAAAAAAATACAAACATAACAATGAGACCATAACTTGCATAAGAATGCACTAACTTCAGAATATAAGAAGAATGAAGTTTCTGGTCTTTTGGTAGTGAGAATGGTGAATTTAAATAATGTAGAAAACTAATTCTGACACCCTTTGCCAACACGACAAGGAAACCAAAAACAGAAATAGCTCCTTCTCAATAATACATATTTCTGATTATGTCACATGGAAATGACACATTTAGAATACAATAAGCAGATCTCAAAAGGGCAAGCACAATGCACCTCTGGTTAAGTTATCACTGCTTTATCAATGTTTAGAAATGTGTCTTGCACATTTAGAACCTAAAAATAAATTCAAATGGTCTCTGTTGTTCCACACATACATACTTCAGATAAGCTAAGAGACATCTTTAAAATGTAACTAACAATTTGGGCAACACAGCAAGACTTTGCTCTACAAAAAATTTAAAAATTAGCTGGGCATGGTACACCTGTAGTTCCAGCTACTCAGGAGGCTGAGACAGGAGGATCACTTGAGTCAAGGAGGTCATGGCAGCGGTGAGCCGTGATCATGTACTCCACTGCACTCTAGCCTGGGCAAGACCCTGACTCCAAAAAAGAAAAAGAAAAAGGAAAAAAGTAGCCAAAGGTATTCTGTGATAGCAGCATACATCATGAAAAGGTACCTTTTGGGACAACTATTGGTAAGGTTAGAGACAATATTTATAATCTTCTTCAGACCTCCAACTGAAAAACAACAGATCTTCCAGATGCTAAAGTCAGAGTTCTAAATATTTCTTAAAATCCTAAGAGTCAAAAACGTATCAACTGCATAAATTCTTTTTCCCAAATAATATTCCAAGAGATGCGATCATTACTAGCTAGCACTGGGGATAGAACGGATAAATATCAAAGGAAATTCTTTTCTTCCCAGACCTAAAGATCCTTTGCATATGAACCAAGAAAGATCAATAACCTGGAAAAAGACAAAAGATATTTCACAAATACATCTGCTTTCAACTGATCGTGGCCTATATGCCATTTGTGCCACATTAGAAATAGTTTTGCAGTTCAGCATTTCCAGGGGCAAATTCATGTGTAAATTAGCTTTTTACATAAAGAAAATGGCCTATTTCTGTTCTGTCTGAATTGAAACCAAAAAGTTATCCACAGGCCCATCATGTAATAGCTTCTGTTGGGTTCTTGGATATGCTGACAATAGTTAATTGCCTTAATTGCTAGAAAATAAGGCTAAGAAACTCTGGAGTCACTACTTTACATTAAATAGCTTTATATATATTTAGAGTATGAACCTATGATTCAACAGTCATCAAAGTTATATGAGTACCCTAAAAAACTGAGCACCCTATGTTCTCACTCATAAGCAGACCCTGAACATTTGTCATAATACTGTAAGAAAGGGGTTGGCAGTAGCAGGAAACTCCCAGGGGAGGGGGGGCACACAACATCAATAAGGTTACCTAATCTCAAGCCAGGCAAAGTGGGGACCAAAGTGAAACCCAGACTTTACCTGTACAATGACCACCTGCATGCCTAATCCTGAATTGTACACCACATCTTTAAAATTAAAAAATAAAAATAAATAAATCTGTCTCTGAACTGACAGGTTCATCTACATTCACTTCACATACAGATAAAACAATGCAGGACTATATGGCCAACATAAATTACTAAATGTGACAACACTGTTGGGTATGGTAGTTTACGCCTGTAATCCCAGCACTTTGGGAGGCCAAGGTAAGAGAACTGCCTGAGCCCACGGGTTCGAGACCAGCCTGGACAACTTGGCAAGACCTCAACTCTACAACAAATCAAAAAATTAGCCGGGCATGGTACCGTATGCCTGTAGTTCCAGCTACTTAGAAGGCAAAGGCAGAAGGATCACCTGAGCCCAGCAGGTTGAGGTTGCAGTGGCAGTGAGTGTGCCACTGCTCTACAGCAGTGACAACAAGAGTAACCAGTAGACATACTTTAGCATCTATGAGCCCACTTACCAGTACAGCAAAGTGATTTAAGATATGCCAAAGATGCCAGGAGCAATGACTCACACCTTTAAGGTGGCTCACTTTGGGAGGTAGAAGCAAGAGGATTGCCTGAGACCACGGGTTAGAGACAAGCCTGGGCAACATAGCAAGACCTCGTCTTTACAATAAATCAAAGAATTAAACAGGTGTGGTGGCTCATGCCTGTAGTTCCAGCTACTTGGAAGGCTGAGGTGTAAGGATCGCCTGAGCCCAGCAGGTAGTGGCTGCGGTGGCCATGAGCGTGCTACTGCACTCCAGCCTGGGTGACTCCAACTCAAAATATATATATATATATGCGCCAAAGAAACATCACTGCCACCACTACATCTGGAATAGCAGTCACAAAACTCACCACTAAAGAGAAGTAACTGCAAAACTCTTTTTATTTAAAAACCCTTAGGCCAAGAGTAGTGGTTCACACCTATAATCCTAGCACTTTGGGAGGCAGAAGTAAGAGGACTGCCTGAGCCCACAGGTTCAAGACCAAGTTCTGGGCAACTTGGCAAGACCTCATCTCTACAATAAAACAAAAAATTAGCCGTGTGGAGGTGTGTGCCTATAGTTCCAGATACTTGGAAGGATCGCCTGAGCCCAGCAGGTCGATGATGGCCATGAGCGTGCCACTGTACTCCAGCATGGGTGACAGAGTGAGACTTCGACTCAAAAAAAATTAAAATATACATAAATAAATAAAAACCCTTTTTATCAGTGGCTCAGCCTTTAATCCCAGCACTTTGGGAGGTCGAGGCGAGTGGATTGCCTGAGCCGAGGGTTCGAGATCAGCCCAGGCAACTTGGTGACACCTCGTCTCTACAATAAATAAATTTTTTTTTAAAAGTATCCAGGCATGGTAGCACACACCTGTAGTTCCAGTTACTTGGAAGGCTGAGGCGGAAGGACCACCAGAGCACAGGAGGTTGACACTGGGGTGGCCATGAGTGTGCCACTGCCCTCCAGTCTGGGCAACAGAGTGAGACTCCAACCCAAAAAAAGGAAAAAAAGAAAATTTACTTCCCAGGCCTGCTTTAAGCCTAACAGTGATGCAACCAAGATCAATAGCTATCAGACACCTGACACAAAAGAAGTTCAATACAAATTTTTGCTGACTATTCTACAACAGATGCGCCAGAATTTACTAATTATGTCTGATGACTAGCACCAAACAGCAAATCTCATTGTTCAACTTTTGCTTTATAATATCACCATCTACATGTTTATTGTACACCTCGTATGAGCTAAGAACTTCATAATATTTAACATAACCCTCATAAACTGTCAGATTAGCCCCAGTTTACAGATGCAAAAACTGAGATTCAAGAAGTTGACCTGCCCAAGGACACTGTCAGGAAACAATCAAATCCAGATTTGAATGGCTCACAATCCCATTGTCTTTTCACTGCACCACAATGATTTTCATCCTCTGGTCTGGGCTCTGCTTGCAAGTCTACATTAAATGAGAGGTAAGCAAAGGGCCATCTCTTTCATAATTCACAATACAACAATACTGTAGATGCCAGACACCCTAGAACGGTCTTAAGTTTCTAAGATTTTAACAACAAAGGAGAAGGTCCTGGAAGACAAATCTTTCCTTCTCTGAAGGAGATTTACTGAACCACTATATAGGGGTGGTTCATCTTCCAAGTTACATTGCATGAGAATTTAAAAATCTGTTTCCTCTAAAAACGAACTTCCAATCAGGTCACCACAATTTTAAAAAGCTCTCAGAATTAATGACAAACAAAAGACAAACTTGGTGTTTCAGCATTCATACTTTCTTTTGGTAGGACTAGACACAATGAAAAGAACAAATTTGAAGGTCAAAGTTGTGACCCAGATAAACTCTAGAGCTTCCAAAATGATACTCCAATGCTCAAATGTTCAAACAAGCAGGTGGTTGCAATTCAACATAGGTAAGCCACAAAATATTTTCCAACCTAAGTGATTTAACTGAGGTCTGCTTCTTTTCCTTGGTTCTGCCCACCTATCACTGATCAACTGTAAAGTAGCAAAAAAGAAAAAAAAAAAGCAAAAACTATCCCATAATCCTCAAATCAAGAGACTTACTGAGATAAACTAAAATTTAAGACTTGAAAGGCGGAAAATAAACCCTCTGCTTTAAACACAAGCAAACAGGCCCTTAAGAGTGCAAGACTAGAGTCAGCTCTGCCTAATGGTTAGAAGCACTACCACCGTGGCCAGATAAATCTTATTACCTTAGATCTTGGCAATAAGATTTAGCAGCTATATAACCATTAGCACATAATTTAATCTCTCTGAGCTTCAGTTTCCTCAAATACAAAGAAGGAACTATCCTTACCTCACAGGGTTACTGTAAAGATTACTTTGGATAATGGTTAAAACAATGACTGGCATGAAGCAATTAACTTGTTGTTACTACTATTTTTTTATTGCACACGAGTCTTTGGTGAAGCTGAAACAAGAGCCCAGATTCTGAAGACCAGTTCACAGTCTGCAAGATTATCTTAAAATCCATAATTCCAGGTTTGCCCTGCCATTCCAAAATTCAGAACTAAGATAACCATTAAACACAATCAACCATGGGCATCTAAGTGGCCTCCAATTGCTTGTTCTTAACACGACAGCTCAAATATAAAAAAGAACAGTGAAGATTTGCCCAAGGCTGTGCCATCAACAAGCTGAATAACCTTTGATCAGCAACCTCATCTAACTGGGTTTCAGGTTCATCATTCACAAGTGTGAGAATCTGGCAGGGTGTCCTCTACAGTACCTTCTCTAAAATTCAACAGTCCGTTAATAAGCTCCCTAAACAAAATAAAACCAGGCTCTCATCATTTGACAATTTACTTCACTACTCAGAAAAAAGTATTTCCTTTATAGGAAAAACAGCAAAAAATTACAGACATTAGGGAATCGCAAATAAGCTGTTGCCTTCTCCATAAAAGACTAAAAGTCATTTTACTACTATTAAGGTTAAAGGGAGTTTATGCTCTCAACTCTGAAGGTGGTTCTTCAGATAAGTCTGGATCATTCATTTAGCTGCTCATCACCGCTCTAAGTACTAAAAAAATGACAGAATACTTACCATCACCTAAAAGTAACAGGTGAATGTACTAAAACACTAAAGTAATTTTAACTTCCAAGAGAGTGAGCATGAGAATTAAACCTGAAACATTCCAAATCGGAGTGATGGTAACCTCTTCATGAATTGAAGAAACATGAACACTGTATGTTTCTGCGGGGGAAATTTTGGGGAAAGACTATCAGAGTTAAGGGTTTAAGCTGGGCTCAGTGGCTCAGCCTGTAATCCTGCGCCTTTGGGAGGCTGAGGTGAGTGGATTGCCTGAGCCCACAGGTTCGAGACCCACCTGGGCAGTGAGACCTCATCTCTACAATCAATCAAAAAATAAGCCTGGCGTGGTAGCACGTGCCTGTAATTCCGGCTACTGGGAAGGCTGAGGCGGAAGGATCGCCGGAACCTAGTGGGTCGAAGCTGCAGTAGCCAGGAGCGGCCACTGCACTCCAGTTTGGGCGACAGAGTGAGACTCCAACTCAAAAAAAAAACGTAAGGGTTTAAACAAGTTGCCATTTCTTACTTAGCATATACAAACTACACTGAATACAGGGAGCAATTTCCCCAAAAGATAAAGCCAACTGGCTGAACTTCACAGAAAAAAATAAAAATTCTCTTCTTGCAAGTTATTATTTAAACGTCTTCTTTCTTTTTTTTTTCTTGTTAGAAAGTAAACACTTGTTATAAACCCAGCTGTTTAGGCTGTTGTCACTAGAGAGGAGAAACAGTTGATGCTAAAATAGTCCTTTTGGCGATCCAGTACAGCAGTACTTGTTGGTTTCCTATCAACCATGTGAATGAAACAACTCAACATACTGACTTCAAATAACTAAAGTTTGCATTTAGAAAATTTTGATCCAATAAATGAAAATCAGATTCTTCTGGATTAGCAACAAATATTTCACTGATCTCAGTTCTTCAATACAAAGCTCCACCATCCAGTGATACATTTCACTCCAGTGATACATCCCAAAAAGTAAAAAATGCAATGTTCTGGGCAAAGGATCTCCACATTAACATCAAGGGATGAGTTACTGGTTACCTCGGTGGCCCCTAGAGGATACTTACGAATTTGTGTGCAGATACTCAAAGGTTAGCTGAGCTCGATTCAGACTGCTGTAATTTGTGAAAGCCATGACTGCAATGAGGTCTCCAGTCTTTTACTCACTAACTGGGATATATAACTTTACGATGGAATCGATTTTCCAGCAAAAGTTCAGTAAAGCTTTGCTCCTTTAATGACAGTTAAGAATACCTAGTCTCTGTTCGAAATATATTCAGAGAGATTTAAAACTATAGTTGGTTTCTTCTTTAAGTATTTCTTTTTAATCTTCTCAATGTCCTATTTTGGAAAGAATTACATCATAAATCTGTAGTCCTAGGGAGCTTTCAGCATTAAGTTCCGATGGCTCGATTCAGACAATGAGTCGAATGTGGATGGTCCTGTAGTTGGTTCTTGAGTTGGCGGTTTACCACTACTGCATCTTCATATTCTTCGAGCCTTTTTTGGTTCCCCTAAATATCCTGTAATCAACAAGTGTACCAATCCGGAAATTTACCAATCCGGAAATTTACCTACTTCTGTCAGAAAGCAGGTAAAACCACCACCCATGTCCTCACCACAAGTGATGCCAGGCTCCTTAAAAAAACAGACTGTACACCGCGACCAAGATGTCGACAGATTGCATATGGCGCCAGTTCCGGCTTCACCACCTCCCTGATGAAAGAGCTCCTAGGTGCTGACTGGCGATATCCTTTTTCAAAGCCCGACTAACAGCTTGCTGTCCCGCCCCAATCTCCTCAGTGGTGGGTCGAGTGACCTCACAGAGGCCCGCTGAACGCCTCACAATAGACCCGCCCAAATCACCTCGGGCGGGCCGCGCCCCTCCCCCACTCCCCTCAGACAGCTGCCTCGGCCTCAGACCCTTCCCGGGCCTCAGTCCCGTGGCCTCCTCCTCACGGAGAAGTGTTAGTCCCAGCTTTCAAGCACCGGATCGAGGGCAGCGGCGAGCACACCACCCGACCGGGCGTTGCCCGGAGCCCACAGCTGCCTTTGTCCCTCCCCGCGGAATTGGAACCCAACAACCGCAGGGCGCTCTTGGAACCATGTGCTGCCGCCGCCGCCTCCGCCGCTGCCGCCCGCGCGCCGCACTGGATGAGATGATGACAGGACTCGGCGCCACGAAATTCGGCGTTCAGGAGAGCTCTGCCGCCGCCGCCACAGCCTCCACAGCCACCGCTTTGTCTCCGCCAGCGCACACAGCCCTGGCCACCTCGCGCACTCCCCGACGCCCCAAGCCCCCGAGGCCTCCGCGGCGCATTCCGCCAATCACAAAGCCACAGTTCCTCCCGCCCCCGCCCTGATGCGCTGCCTTTTGATTGGCGGACAGTGTGTGGCCGCGTGACCGGATCTTGGTTGGCCGGTCCCGCCCCTGTCACGTGATGACGTGCGCCTCTCTTCCTGCTTTCCTGACCCTCTCCGCCATTTAAAGAAACAGTACCGGGGGCGGGCCGAGCGACGCAGCCGGGACGGTAGCTGCGGCGCGGGCCGGAGGAGCCATCTTGTCTCGTCGCCGGGGAGTTAGGCCCCTAACTCGAAGAAGCCCTGGCGCGCCCTCCCCCCCTCCCCGGTCTGGTAGGGCGAAGGAGCGGGCGCGCGGTCGATCGAGCGATCGGTTGGCGGCTCTTTCTCCTGCTCTGGCATCCAGCTCTTGGGGCGCAGGCCCGGCCGCCGCGGCGCGCGCCCGGTGGCCGTTGGCGCTCGCGCCGCGTCTTTCTTCTCGTTCGCAGAACTCGGGCGGCGGCCTATGCGTTTGCAATCCGACGAGGAGTCGTCCGGGTGGTCGGCGGCGGCGGGCAGCTGCTCCGCCCCGCTCCGGGGGAGGCGGCGGCGGGATTTGGCGCGGCCGGGGAGGCGGGGGTGGCCGGGGCTGGCCTGGAGGCCTGGCGCCATCCTTCGGGGCCTGCAAGGACCCAGTTGGGGGGGCAGGAGGGGGCCGGAGGATGGTTGGTGGTGGGCTTTCTACTTTGCCTTTTCCTCCTTATGCCGCCTTAGTGAGAGGCCCGAGCTCTGGAGGCAGCTCCGGGGTGGAGAGACTAGCTCCGGAGTCGGAAGAGCTGGGTTTGCTTCCAGGCCTAGTCACCAGCTGGCCGAGTGGCCTTAGGCAAGTCACTCTGTAATTTGTCTGCGCCTCAGTTTCCTCCTCTGCATATCAATGTGTGTGGGATTGAAAGCGCTTTGTAAACTGTAAAGCGTTGGTGTACGTAAACGACGATTATTGTTTGTAATGTTGAGATGTAAGAAAACTTAACAATTGCTCAATCCTTGGATCTTGAACCTGGGAACCTTGGGGTGGTGTTGGAGATCTCCAAACTTCCTGAAATTGTATGCAGGAATTTTTGGGAATGTGTATTTTAGGGGAATTAAGATCCATGCTAGCAAGTTTTCAAAGGGGGTTGTGACCTAGAAGAATTAAGAACTGGTATTACTTTATGCCACAGGGAGGAAACTGAGGCCTAGATGTCATTTGGGACCCTTCACGACCAATTCGAAGCCCCTGTTTGAGTCCCTGGGATATGTGAGCTGTTTCTATGCATAATGGATATTGGGGTAACAACATTCCCCTGCTTGGCTTCTATTTTGAATCCTTTCACCATAGGGTGCCTGAAGGGTGACTGATGCATACATATGGTACAATGGCACCCAGTGTAAAGCAGCTACAGTTAGGAGTGGATGTGTTCTCTAGTATCAAGAAGCCTGTTTAATCCTTGGCCCGGCAACTCTTTGTTTTCTGCTGCTTATACCGGTGCCTGACTACCTTTCTGACTCTCTCATTGACCTTTTTCCACGACCGTGGTTGCCATCTATTAATTGCTCCTACTTTGTAACCCTAGTCTGTGTGGTAGGTAGTGGACAGACTTATTTATAAATGGTGCTGTCAAGCCCAGCTAACGGTGCACGTGGAATTTTAGCAAGCGGGCTCACTGGAACAGACTGTGAACATGCATGGAATTCCTGAAGACGTTTTGGGTTTTTTTTCCTTATTAACTGAAGGTTAACATTCTCTGAAAAGTTTTGTTAGCACTCCTGCGGAACCTCAAAATCAGTAGATTTGGAAGTGATTCAAAGCTTAATTTTTTCCTGACCTGCCTTGTATTCTAATTGCTTGCAAGCGTGATACTAAGATGGCCAAAATGCCAGTTTTTGCTTCTTTGTTAATTGTCAGCTGTTTTTATAAATTCCAGGCTGTATCCAGCAAACACTATAAAAATGTTTGAGCAGTTGGATTTCAAACATATTCATTTTGTGGAGTGCTTACCAAGTGGTACAACTCTAAGCAAGTGACACAAACACACTGAAGTGTATTGTCTGTTTAGTTATTAGCCAGTTATGCTGTTTCATTCAAATATCTGGAAAAAAAGTTAATTGACTATTCCCTTTAACTAAAGGGCAAAGACAAATCTCACTTCCAGAGAAATGACTGTTTTGAAGAAAAATGTGTTGGTCTTTTAGCTCTTTTGTAATTAAATCTGGATGTACCTCAAAAGAATCTTAATACTGTGGTGATAAGATACTTTCCTCAGAAGAAAGGAGGAAAAAAAATCAACCGGATGGCAAGGCTTGAAATTCTGTAACAAAACCTGAGATGTCCAGGATTGAAGTGAAAATGTTTTGCTACAGTGTTCTGCAATAGTGGGAGCAGATGTCTTTCACTGTAGCTGCAGCCTTGGATTCCAGATTTCCAGATTTTCAAGAACTAGACCTGGAACTCAAAAGAGCTTGACAGGATGTGGCAGGAACACTGGAGGTGTATATGCTTTTTATTTTTGAATTTGGGAACTGTTAACCTTGCTGTGAAAGAAGAGGCAACAACTGAGCAAGCACTGCCACCAGCGCTATTACTGGGAATTAGAAGACCTATGTTTCTGTCCAGACCCTCAGTGCAAACTGAGGACACTCCATCCAAAGTGAATAACGGTACTTGCCATTTTCCAAAATGCCTTATTCTTTACCATTTCTGAACTTTTCTTCATGCTGTCTTCTCTACCCTGGAAATGCCCTTCTCTGGTTCTTCATCTGTCAAAACCCTGCCATTTCCTCAATATCCAACTCAGATGTTCTCTCTTCCATGAGTCTCCTAACTGTAGCCAGAAGTGATCTGTAGGTTTTATGACATGTTATATCTTTTCTCTGTCTTTGTATGCAAAATCCTGTAAGATAGTTATTTGCCTGCATTTGCTCTCTTTGCAGATAGCAAGCTCCTTGAAAGCAAGGGCCTTGTTTAATGCATCTTTGCCCACACATACCACCACCTATGATGAAGCATTTATTAGAAAGGATGAATTTAGACAGCAGGCTGTCTCAGAATAGCACTCAGTAAGTGTTTGCTTAATTAAGTTGTGTGATAACTAAGCATACTCTTAATTAGAAGAAAAAAATCACTAAATATGGGCCATGTTTCTTCCTTTATGCTTTACTGTTTTTAATTTTTCAAAGATCTAAGGAGCCCTCAAATATAAAAGCTTTTAAAAGGAGAAGGTCATAAGACAACTTAAGGGAGTCATTGGAAAAGGAAAAGAGGCAATATCTCCTTAACTTTATTGTTGATATATAAACTTAAAATCTCAGTTCTTTTTTGCCAGTTGTGGAGCCGCTTCCTTCCCCATCAGCTAATGTCTACCAGCCTGATTATAATCAAATTAATTCCCCAAAGCATGAGGTTTAGGGTAGTTTCTGTTTGCCACTTCCCTGAGACAGTTAATTTTCAGAAATAGATCTTTGCCAGAGAATTTTTTTTTGTTCTCATTATTAGCAGTTGTTAATGAGGCTTTTGTGCTTTTCTTTTTTGGGTTTTTGTTTGTTTTCATTTATCATTTGTCAGCATCTGTCTAAGCCAGGCTTGTCCAGAGTTAGTATCCATCAGGCATCTGATGTTCTGACAGCATACCCACTCCAGTGCTGTGTTTGTAATTCCATGCATTGTTATCTTACCTGTTTTGTCCCACCCCTTCTAGTCCTGTGCCTCCTGATTGCTGAGTCTTCACCTGGACCTTCTGACTACCTTCCTTGTGCTATATTCCATCAGCCTACAGATCTGGTACCTGGATTTTTACCCATGGTGATTCCTGCCACCTTACTACTGAAGAAGACACCATTCCAGTGGACCACTGTGACCTAAGAGGCATTCAGCCATCATGATGTGGCCTTTACCTCCACTCCTGTCCTGTTCTACCCAGATTCAGCACAGCTCTATATAGTGACATCAGAGTCCTCAAGCCAAATAGCTGAAGCTATTTATCCCAACAGTGGCCCAGTTTGTTCCATGAGTATTCATTTCATTTCTTCAGTTACAGCCTTCAGAGACACATAATAAATTCGGACCAGGGGATTTTGAGTTATCAATGCCATCGGAAGACAAGCAACATCTCTGTTGAAAACAGCATTGGACCACACCCCACAATCTCAAATGACTGAAGTTCATGAACCATCTAGGATCCCATCAAGGTCATGGACCGTGTTCTTTTTCAATTCAAATCCTGTAGTAGCCTATAGAATGAGAACCCCATTGGGATCAAATCAAAGGCACAGTGAACTCCTCATATCATCTTCTTTGGGATCACTCAGGAACCAGAACCTCACACGAATGTAAGAAATTCTACCAAGGAGTCCCTTTACCTAACAGCGTCTCACAAGACTCCAGTCAGATTCCAGAAAAGACTTCTTAATACATCAAGGTAGAACCTCTATGGTAATCCCCTCTGTTTATATAGCACTTTACAGTTTCAAAGCACTTTTACATTATCTCAGTTTTCCAAATAACACAATAAATCATAATCTCTTTCTGCAAATGAGGGAATAGAAACTTTAAAAGGCTAAGCAGTTATCCAAGGTGACATAGCTATGAGGAGGCTAGGCCTTCTGACTCCCAGTCCATTTCTCCCCTTGGAATTAACTTAGCCTCTACTTTACTCACAGTATTAAAATGGCTGGAGATTGAGAACACCGGGATATTTTCCTACTTCCTGATAATGGTGCCATCAATCACACAGGATATCATAAGTATAATGATGTGTGATAGCTTCACCTGGACTAGAATCCCTAAGATTTAGGAGCATACTGTCTCTATTTTGATAGACTGTCAAGTCAAAAAGGCACATGTTCTAACAACAAGGCTACTTTTAGATCTGTTGCCCATTTTCATGGTCTTTCCATGGATGACCTAGTTAATTAGGGATCTTTGTTCATATGTCTTTTTTTTTTAAGTCTTATTAATAATCTTAGACACTAAAAGCTAATCTGTGGTCCTCTCCCCAAGCTAATATTTATACAAAATATTTTTAGAGCAGTACTGTCTATATATGTTTGTGTATGTGTGTATGTGTATGTATGCCATATATAGAGAGCTTCTGTTGTCTAATAAGGTACTGCTAAAATTTGTCCCTTCCCTCAATCTGCAATGCAGTGTATTAAAGGGTCTCAGAAGATACTACAGCAAAGAGCTCCATTTCACTGTTTAAACCAGTGTGTCCTAACTTTAATCAAACATAGAATGCTATTTTTTGCATCATTCCTTTTAATGGAATATGGATACTGCTTTAGAGTGGTATACCCAGTGCTGCTTGATTGCCAGCACATTGTCCTGGAGTCCCCATTATAAACAGCATCTTTGAAACTCCTCTTTCTCATATCTTATCATTAACTACTTGAATTAGTATGTGTCTGTCATCTGAGAGTCCTACATCTTGACCATTACCTTTATTTTCTGTCAAGGGAATCTCTGGATGATATGTGAAGATACATGGGAAGGAAATGGGGGGAGGCAAACTCTGCCCCAAAATTGGATGAATTCCCAATTAGTTCAAGGGCATTGCATCTCAGGTGGGTAAGGAGGTTGGGAAGGAAGGAGGATAGGGAAAGGGGAGGATGAAGCTTGAGAAGGAGAGATTTTATTAGAATTTGAGTTGTAGCCCATTGAGATTGTATCAGTGCTTGAGGAGAAGTCATCCAGCCATGACTTCTATAAGGAAATAGATACATTTGCAACTGTATACAAAACCAGTGCTGTTACAACTTGAAATCATTAGTCATCTTCTCTGATAGTCACTTATAAGCCCAACCACAGGCAATCAGAATTTATAGCAGGCTTGAACTTTCACTTCATCAACCTGCAATGTGGCCCACATTAGAGAAAGAATGACTAGGGAAACACCTTGGTTTACCACAGGCTTTGCTCACAGTTTCTGGTTTCTGTGACCTATTTTTTGTATTTCAGCATTTTGTGAACAACTTATTCTTAGATCAATGGTTCTCCAAAGTCTTTGTGGCCCTGAAGCCCTTTGAATGAAAACTATGCGGAAGCCCAGAGCTGTGGATGAAGCAGTGAAGCAGGAGTGAGGGCCTGAAGCCTGCCCTAAGCATCTTTACCACCATGGTGACACCCAAGGGGACTTCCTTACAACACCTAGAACTCTTCAGAACAGTTTGAAAACTACTGCCCTAGACAACAATATGTATGACCTGAATGGCATTCTGATCTTTTCTTTACCTCTACTCAACACAGCCATGTTCAGTTGATGCTGAGCAATCTTAGAAAAGTGCAAGAAGTCAGGCATGCCTTTGCCCCTGGGAATAATCACATGGCTAAAAGTGGTGTCAAGTGAGTGAACCTAGTTTAACAGCCCTCCAACCCAGATGGACTTCCAGTGATTCCTGGAATTGGATATAGCCAGAGAGCATTCTATGCACCCTGTACTGACAAACTCCTTAACCAATTTCTCTCACAAACACCAGATGTTCTAGTGGTACTTGAAGTACATGACTTTGAAGTCTTGACCCTCTGTGGATACCTGAATTGCTAGCAAGCTGGTATTGAAACTAATGCCTCATTGAGGCCATATTAGATCAACTTGTACATTTGACTTCTCATCATCAGCCATGGTACTCTGTGCAAGGGATAACCATTAACTATGAAAGCAAATTTCAAGTGCTGGCAATATTTCCTAAAGGGGCTCAGTACCTATTTATAATTCATCTTTTCAAACTGCAAGTCACTGTATGACTTAGTCAGTGGCAGTCATGCTGCTCCTTGGTTTTTATTCAGTTTAACTACTGTTTCCAGGATAAATGAGCTAGTAACTTTAAAAAAAAAATAGCTAAAATTTTTCATCACTGGCATATCTGCCTTTTCTCCAAAGTCATGACTCCTCAGCTTTAACTACATGTAACAGCTGATCCGCAAGAGATGATCTTTGAACATCCCTTCTCATGTATGTGATTTAAAGTGAAACCATTTGGAAAATCACCTAGCCAGTGAGAGAGATACTTTTAAGATGAGTCTTTAGATGTCTGATAGCATCAATTATAGGTGGTAGGGATAATTGAAAGCAGGCCCTTTGACTAGGCCATAATAACTTATTTTCTGGACATTTCAAATAACTAAACTGTCTACTTTTGCTGGAAACAGACTGACTTGAAAAAAATCCACAAAGAATACATCTAAGGATTTTTATCAGTAGACTATAGAGCTGCTCACCTTGTGGATGTTTTCATGGGATCACATCTGTCTCAATACTCTCATTTTACAGTGGTTCAGAGCTGCTGACTTTATTCCTTGCCATGAATCACTCATGCATTAAGACAACTTATTTCTGTAGGAAGTATTCAATTCATGAACTCTCAGACCAGATTTTGTCAAACAAGGAGACTTCGATGTGTGTAATGAGAAATTTTCATTCCTTCCCTGTCAATTTAAGGACCAGCTATCCTGAGGTACTCTAATGAATGCACTGGTTAAATATTGGAAATGGTTTATATTCTTGTCTCCTATACTCTAGACCAGTTGTGATTACGTGATTCACTACGTATCGTTAAACAAGACCTGGATCTGGTTGCTCTCACCCTCAACTTATAAAATCTGAATGACTAGCCTGCTTGTATATACAACTATTATTTGTAATGAAGAAATTATCTTCAAGCTCAATTTTTTTACCACCTTAAAATTGTCAGCTCTTTTTTTCTCTGTTTTTCCTATACTTTACAGAAAAAGATATTGATCTACACTGCCAATCATTCCCTCTAATCTTGTCGTACTCAGTCAAAATGAGTGGTTTAAAATGAGGGTAATCACCTGCTTAAGAGTCTAAAATGTACACTGTGTATAAGAATTAGTGGTTGGAAAAACAAGCCTAAAACTTAAACTGAGGAGCTTGCCTACTATCTCTATGCCTCAGATCTCATCTAAATCTTCCAACAGCACCATTCAACAATTTGACGCCTTGACTTGCTTGTAAGGTGATTCTCAGAAATTGGCTGAGTTAAAATGAAGACTTGATTACCAAAGAAACTAGGGCCAATTTTGATAAATGTGGCTCTGCTGACCCTGTCACTCCCAGATGTAGCATAAAGTATACAGAATCTCAAGTCTGCACTGAGGTTATGGCCTTCTCCTGAGCTGAAAGTTCTTCAGCAGATGAGCAGAAAACTGAAAGCTGATGAACCTGATGGAAGCTTTAACATCAGAAAACTATCCAGAGTAAACCTTATGGATTAATCCTGGAGTACCCAGGGTACAAACTAATTTACAGAGCTGCATTATTAATCTGCCTGTTCTTCCGTGACATATCCTAACTATTCTAAGGCTGGCTCTGCTAAAGTTACCCTGCTTGTCTATTTACCTGACTCAGCTCTTGCCTGCCTTTTCTGACATGTTGCTGCAATCAGACTGACCTTGAAAAGACTACAGCTAATGTCAGCCTATGTTGTGCCCAGTTCCACCACAGATTTTTTTAGTAAAAGCAACCCACACCTCATTCACCAGGACTTAATATTCACAACAGGAAGAACCATGCTGTATACTCCTTGATCAGGAGCTTTTTAAAACTTAAGTGCAGAGTGAGCCTCTATGCTTATATGTATTTGAACATTTTTGGCATCTGGAAAACCTCTTCTATCTGAAAAATACAACAGGTCAAAAACTGTCCATTTCTGTCTTCTGCAGTAATACGGAAATGAGTCCAATTCACCAGTACTCACAGAAATGTACAACTTGGCAAAAGACTTACAGGAACACAAGAAAAGTTTTTCACTGAACTTAAAATATACTGCTGACTCAAATAGCCTCACAGAATTATTTGATAGTAGAAGGCTAGTTGTCTTGCTCATATCAACAGGACAGTTGGGCTCTCAGACTCATGACCACTGAGCTTGCTTGTATTGAAACTCTGGTATCATCCAAAGTATGCTATTGGACACAATTATTCCATCCAAATGGATTACAGGCTTCCTGGGGGCATGACAGATGTATCCCTTACTGCATTTTGTTTGTTTGTTTTTAATTTATTGCCAAGGAAGAAACAGTGCAAGCTGTTACCATTCAACTTCATGAGCAGAAATTAGCTCTTTTCAACATCTGGTCTTATCCCGGACATAGTTTTTGATTGCCCAGCATCCATTCTATCTCATTGCAACAACTCCCTGATGTTTCTTGGAACCACCTCTTCCTATCTTCAGTTCATGTGGTTGGGACAATCTGACCCAACCTTGGGCTTCACAGGTGGACATGTAATTCAGACCTCATCTATCAGCAAATCCATCTCCTTGAACATAGTGTTTGATTCAGAATGGTTATATAATTCAAGATGGTTCGGTCATACTCATCCCTAGTTTTACTGAACTGTGGAGGAGGAGAAGCTCTCTTTACTGAGGTGGTTTAGCTTTATAGGATGAAAAACTCAAACCAACAGGACCTCCAGAATTGAGTGAACCAGTCAGATAATGAAGCCAGTGCAGAGAAAAGCAGAGCCAAAATATGGAAAGACTTTTGAGTCCTGATGACAACGTTTGTGCCCCTGGATCCAACTGTGCCTGAAGCTAGTATATCCCCTGGACTTTTCAGTTATGTGAACCAATAAATACCCTTTTTTGTTTAAGTTACTATGAGTTGGGTTTCTGTTACTTGAAATTGAGTCCTGGCTAATATGAATCTACCAACATCGAAATTTGACAGATTCAGGTATGTATTAAACTACAGGTTATGGCCACACTGAAATTACTTTCCAAAATGAAACGGGAACTGAGGGAATATGTAAGATACTACTGAAGTATAAAAATTGAATGTAGAAAGTAATAGAAGAAAACGTAAATGTTGATCAGTAAAGGATTGGTTTAATAACATATGGTTCAATCATATAAGAAAATGTACATATCTGTTTAAATGAATAAAGTACATTTATTGTGTATGGACATGGAAAAATGCCATGATACATTAAGTAAAACAAGCTATTGATAGAAAAGTGTATATAGTATGAACTCATTTAAAAATATGTGTGAGCTTATGTTTATAAATTCATAGAAAAGTCTATTAATGGCTTTGAGCAGTGTAGATTACATTAGATTTTCAACTTTATACTTCTGTATTTGAATATTTTACACTATTCACATTACTTTTAAATTTAACTTAAAAAATAAAGAATTTTTAAAATTATATTTAGTGCTTACTGTTTGACCTTGGCAAGTTACTTAACACTGAGCCTGTTTTGTCAAATGGTTAACAATACTCATCTTTATGTTAGTGAATATTAAAATATTCATCATCCATTACCCAAATTGACAGATTGCTACACCTTAAGAAACTTAGAGCTCAGTAGTTGTTTCTTTTTTTTTTTTTTTTTTTTGAGTTGGAGTCTCACTCAGTTGCCCAGACTGGAGTGCAGTAGCCGCTCCTGGCCATCGCAGCCTCAACCTGCTGGGCTTTGGTGATCCTTCCGCTCAGCCTTCCAAGTAGCTGGAATTACAGGCGTGCACTACCACGCCCGGCTAATTTTTTAATTTATTGTAGAGATGAGGTCTCGCCAAGTTGCCCAGGCAGGGCTCCAACTCACGGGCTCAGGCAATTCACTCACCTCAGCCTCCCAAAACACGGGATTACAGGCTGAGCCACTGAACCCAGCTTGTTTCTTATTTTTTTTTAAGCATGTTGTTCAAATGTTGTGAGTGTAATTGGGACATCAGAATTTTATTGTTTTAGTGGTCTTCAAAGATAATACCAGATTTTGGCTGGTCTTTAAGACCTCTATTGCAGTGTCCACATTAGGCAGAAAGAAGGGGAAAGTCGCTTTTTTTAAAAATCCTTGTGTTATTCTGATGTCCCTGCAAGTAAGACCTTTTTATTGCTAGGTCCATTAATATCTGAACTTTCAGCAGCACAGTCAACTTTCACCAGCATCTTGAAACACTCCACCCTTACATACTGTAACACTTTATATTTTCTTCTCAACTTCCTGGCTAGTCCTCCATGGTAGGTTCTTTTCTTCTCCCCATCATTTAAATATTGGTATAGTGGATATTCATTGCTTTGGCCTGCCCAAAATCACTTCCCCTTTCCTTTAGTGACAGAGTCCCACTTGCCCTTTAGAATGCTACTTCCCATTTCATGTGGTATTAGTGGAGCTGTAGATTATTGTACTCTGGCCCTAGACCCTTTGGCTGAAGTTTGAGCAATCCATGCTCGTCCTATCAAAATTTCCCTCTCACCAGGACTTTGATTCTTAAGAAAAGTGACACAAAGTAATAAGAACTGAGTCATTCTGTTGGTATTGTCCCAAAGAAACCTTACAAAAGTTGATGCAAGGAGATCCCCAAAGTACCCTACCCTAGTTCCTGTTATCCAGGCCTGGTTATCCCTATTTTCCTATAATCGTATTAACTACCATATATATCTCCCCTATAACTGTTCAGACTACATATATATCACCCTTATAAGTTCCCTTTTTATCTGTCAGCCAAAATGTGTTTCTGTTGCTTGTGACTAAATGACAATGATTACAGAAATTGATATCAGAGAGTTAAATGGTAGGCGTCAGACCCTCAAGAATATATGGAAGATCTGGAACTGATGATTGTACTGAGGATGAATGAACTAAAGGCCACGATAACTTGCTCTGTGTCTTGGGGAAGAAAACGCAGATTATAGTGGCAAACAACTAATAATGATATCCCCCCTTGTCATTTGGAATCATTTGCCTATTGAGGGCAAAATTTGGAGAACCAGGTAGCTCCTGACACTAGAACAACTTGAACTGGATAAAGAAGACCAAGACCATTGAGTTGGGATGTTTACTTGGGTTGCATCAGATAAGTGAAGAGAACAAGTTCAAATGCAGAAACTTACTTGTGGGCATAAAATAAAATCCAGGGCCCTTGTGTGTCCAGGAAAAAGGAATCTTTTTGTGCTTAAATCCAAACCAGTACTTGGAGGCTGATGTACCAAATTGCAAAGTTACAGTGCTGGTTAAGTTAAAATATTAATTGGAAAAGAGACTGACTTATAGAGTGCTGTTATCTGGGAAGATTCAGAAGACAGAGAATCCCAGCCCTGGTTGATAAGGCTCTTCATTATCTTCTCAAGCTTCATCTTTCACCACTTCAAAAACAACTAAATTTTGTATACTGGAATTTTCTGTATTATTTCATTTGAAAAGAAGGGACTCCAGATTTTTTTAAAGAGTAGAAGAGGGTTAATTTAAAAAATATATATTGGCTGGGCACAATGGTTCATGCCTTTAATCTCAGCACTTTGGGAAGCCAAGGCGGGAGGATCATTTGAGCCCAGGAGTTTGAGACCAGCCTAGGCAAGAGCATGACCTTATCTCTACAAGAAAATCAAACAACTTAGCCAGATATGGTGGCATGCGCCTGTAGAAGACCCAACTACTCAAGAGGCTGTGGCAGAAGGATCACCTAAGCCCAAGAGGCCAAGACTTCAGTGAGCTGTAATCATGCCACTGCACTCCTGCCTGGGTGACAGAATGAGACCCTGACTCAAATAAGAAAAAAAAAAATGAAGTCCATTTATTATTCAGAACAACCCAATAAATATTGCTGTGAATACTATATTTTCTTCCGTATCTCTTTGCATGAAGTGTTTTAAATCTGATGTGTATAACATACAGAAGTCTACGGTAGGTGCTTAGAGGGCAACCATAATACAACATTTACAAGTAAATACAAGAAAGACTACAGATTAAAATGTTAAAATGAAATATTAGAAGAACAGGAGACTGCAATTGTATGACATGGGAGATCTTCATAAACAAAACCTATAAGACATAGAAGAAGTCATAGGCATATATGACTATATAAATCAAATTTTAGTTCTGTAAAAGACACGTGATAGACTGGGGAGATATTTTCAACATAAGGAACATATCCAGAATGAATATTCCTAATACACAGTTCCTACAAATTGATAAATAATAATTGCTAACCATCTATTTAGTGTTTGCTCCATGCTAGTGATTATTTCAGGTACTTTGTAAGTAATTACCACAATGTATGAAATAGGTAATATTCCTGTTTTACAGCAAAGGAAACAACAGGTAACTAAACTATGACTCAAACTCAGGTGGTCTGATTCTAGAGTCTGCTTTGAACTATGATGTTCTGCATTCTGATAAACACAAAAGAAGATCAATGAGGTCCGTGAGAGATACATCAAAGCAATAAGTATCATTTGTCACCTATCAGCAAAATTGAAAAGCAATGACCTACAGCACTTGCAAGAAATAAGGTAAATGAACACTTTTGCACATTGTTGGTAATGTGGATTGTTCCAATTTTTTTGGAAGATAGCTTGGCAGTACCAATTCAGATTTTTAAATATACACTTTTTAGCCCAGCAGTCATACATTGAAGACTGTCTCAAGAAACTAAAAGCACCAAGCTATAAGGACATCAATCTGAGAAGTTTCTTGCAATATGGCCTTTGGTAGCAGAAAAATAGAAGGAGATGGAGTCCATCAAAGGGGAATGATTGAAATCAGTTATAGAATGGCTGTGCTTTGGAGTATTATGTAACTGAAAAAGAATGAGTCTGATCTCTGACTCTTAACCTGTGGCAAGTCCATAATGTATTCCTTTCAAGCAAAAAGAAAATTATACAGCAGGGTATATCATGATAACCTGTTTTTGTGGGGGGGGAACTCTACAAATGTGTCTAAATGTGCATGAAAGAAAAGTGGAAGGACACACCAGGCTATTAAGATTGAAATGATGTTTGGAGAAACTCAGTACTTTATGCATGTTAGCATTGTCTCACTAGTTGTATGAAAACACGTGACTTTTTTTTTTTTTTTTTTTTTTTAGAGAAAGCTTCCTGGCTGGGCGCAGTGACTCACACCTATAATCCCAGCACTTTGGGAGGCTGAGATGAGAGGATTGCTTGAGCCCACGGGTTTGAGACCAGCCTGGGCAACTTGGCAAGACCTCATCTCTACAATAAATAAAAATTTAGCCAGGTATGGTGGCATGTACCTGTAATTCCAGCAGGTCGAGGCTGTGGTGGCTGTGAGCGTGCCACTGCACTCCCGCCTGGGCAACAGAGTGAGACTCAAACAAAAAGAGAAAACTTACTAATTTTATTTTTTATTTTTTTGAGACAGGATCTCACTCCTGTCTCAGGCTCGAGTACAGTGGCATGGTCCTGGCTCACTGCAGCTTCGACCTCCAGGGCTTAAACAGTCCTTCACCTCAACCTCCCAAATAGCTGGGACTACAGGTGTACACTGCCATACCCTGAAAATTTTTGTATTTTTTGTAGAGACAAGGTCTCACTATGTTGCCCAGGCTAGTCTCAAATTCGTGGACTCACATGATTATCTTATCTCAGCCTCCCAAAGTGCTGGGATTGCAGGCATGAGCCACAGCACCCAGTCAGAAAGTTTACCAATGTCTAAGGGAAATAATTGAAATAGAATTTGAAAAACAGACCAGTTGCAGTGGCTCACACATGTAATCCTAGCATTTTGGGAGACTGAGGCAGGTGGATTACGTGAGTCCAAGAGTTCAAGGCCTGCCTGGGCAACATAATATAGCAAGACTTTGTCTCCAAAAAATTAGTCTGGCATCGTGGCACATGCCTATAGTCCAAGATACTC